AGTGAGGTCTGCAAAATAGTTCTTTTTAGTAAATGGCTTTGAGCATCAATAACCAACCCTTTAACAAAGTTCTTATCATTACATATTCTCTTCATATAAAAGGGACATTTTTGTATTTCTCAATGTGACTCAGGCCAAAAAAAAAAGTGACATCAAGACAGACAATGCAAACCTTCTAAACCTTTCCAAATAAACCTCAGATTTTACATAAACCATTTCAAACGTTTGTTTCTGAGTCCATCCATATTATACAGAGATACCAGTTAAATTAGCTACATCATGTAAAACTGACATTATATAAGAAGATGAAGGCTTTTTGGGAATTCTCATGTCAGTATCAGGGTTTATAACATCAACACAGTGATGTGAGACAACTGGCCTACATATACAAGCTGGGGTTTTATTAAACCTTTGTGTGTATGTGTGTGTGGCTGTATATGTGTGTAATTACAGTGTTACAAGATGAAACCACTCCACACTTGTGACTAGAGGTCAGCCTTTCCTCCACAGTAACAAAATCTTAATCTGAAATCTCTCACCAGTATATTTATCACATTACTTGCATCCTTCCATGCAGTACTTTCTTTCTTTGTCTCTGACTTTATTTTCTTTCCTTTCCTTCCATGCTTCCTTCCTTCCTTCCTTATTCCTCCTTCCAGCCTGACATGCTGTGGTACAGCATCACATTATAATTGCAGCATGCCTGCGTATTAGATAATTAGAGGTGCAGGGATGTCTGAGTCTTTAACAAGCACATTCTATTATTAGCCTGCAGCAATAAAAAAGCTAAAGAGGATGGACGTTACAAAGAGAGGTTTCTCTCCAGACGGTCTTTGATATTGAGTGATATACTGTATATTAGGAGTTTGCTTCATGGAAATGAACAGATGGTGACACTAATTCTTCCTTTTTTAAAATTGTTGATGTCTCCACTGAGGGTTTTTATCCATCCATCCATCTTCATCCGCTTCATCCAAGACCGGGTCGCAGGGGCAATAGCTTGAGCAGAACCTCCGAAACTTCCCTCTGCCTACACACCTCGTGCTCCTCAGGAGGAACCCCAAGGCGTTCCCAGGCCAGCTGGGAGACAGTCTCTCCAACGTGTCCTGGGTCTGCCCAGAGGCCTTCTCCCGGAGGGACACACCTGGAATACCTCTCCAGGGAGGCGTCCAGGGAGCATCCTAAACAGGTGCCCAAGCCACCTCAACTGGTTCCGCTCAACATGGAGAAGCAGCTGCTTTACTCCGAGCTCCTCATGGGTGACTGAGCACCTAAGGGTGCACCCAGCCAGTCTCTGGAGGAAACTCATTTCTGCCACTTGTATCCGTGATCTCATTCTTTCGGTCATGATCCAAAGTTTATGGCTATAGGTGAGGGTAGGAACATAGGTTGACCGGTAAATTGAGAGCTTCGTCTTATGACTCAGCTCCTTCTTCACCACAACAGACCGGTACAGAGACCGCATTACTGCAGGTGGATGGAAATGCACCTGTTGTGGGAGTGAGCCAGCAAGTGTGAAACTCTAAGCACATGCCAGCTCCACACAGGTTCACCTCTGTACCAGTCACCCTATTGTTATTAATAGGATTAGCTCAGTTTCCTATTCCTCCTCCCTGTCCCCTCATCCAAACCCTTCCTCTTCCTAATATCTCCGCCTCCTCTTTTCATCCCGAAAAGCTCTTGCCAAAAGGATGGGAAAACCTAACTCATATAAACAAACCTGTTCCCTCTCTCTCCTCACCCCTTCTCCCTGTATTTAAAAGTCTTTCTCTCTGTTTTTTCCTTTGTCCTGATTCAATTTAAGCCTTCCTCCCCACCCCCATTTTTCAGCCTTTCTCTCTCTCTCTCTCTCTTTCTTTAGTGCTGGTAGTTAGTAGGCTTTACCGCACCTTTGTTCTGGTATCCGCACATTTCCGGAGGTTGTCGCATACAAAGATTTGGAAAACCCACTGTCTCACTCCCATTGCCTAATATCATCTCTCACCTGTCCACACACACACACACACACACACACACAAATGCACACATCTGAGGATGTCACTCATTCAAGAAAACCCCATTCTTATACAAACACAAACCCGCAAGAAAGATGGATTGTAGAGGATTTACTTTGCATCATGAGCCAAACCCCGATCCTCTTTCATGTCATGATTTCCTTCCTTTTTTCCTCACCAGTTCCCTCCTTCCTTCCTCCAGAAGAGTAATGACTGTTGAATTTAATCACTTCACTTCATGAAAAGCAGGTCGCTGCATGGCGTTCCACCGTGAAAACTACTGAGAAAAATCCACATTATCGTGATATTTTTGCTGAAACTCAAAAAAGTGTCAACAGGTAGAATTCTCTTTTTCCAGATACCTTTTGTTACTTATAATGTCATTTGTTTAAGAGGATTTGTGTGGTAAACAGGTTTACTTTTTATGTTAGGAGACAGCTTTGAGTGCACAAAAATGCCAAGGAATTGAAAAATAAAACTAATGATCCTTACCAAAATGTGCAATGTATGTTTTTTGTGTGCATGTGTTAAAATTTATTTTATATAATTGGTATGGAAAAGGATATTGTTTAGGAACCAGTATAAAAGTCAAGGTATTTTAACATTTTGGAATGAAACGCAGCCCTACTTACACACTGCTTTCTGCAGGTCGTCCTTTGACCTCCTCCCACAGATGAGGAAAGAAACAGAAAGTGAAGAAAAAAGAGAGTTTCTTTTGTCCCTGTGATCAGCATGAGTCATTTCACTCTCTCCCTGTTGCTCTCAAGCATACACGCACACACACACGCATACACCAATTAACCCCCTCTCTGAGCTGGGGGTTTGGACACAACCCTTGACCCTGCAGCTCGTCCTCAGAGGCTTTGAACG